TTTGGAATTAAATTAAAATTTATCCAAGTCTAATAACGAAGCATGTAATTTTGCCACAGAGGATTCCGAAGCACCAGAAGCAGCCACGTAGGCTCAACGCGTTCTGTATTAATATATAGGGGGATTATTATTATTATTATTATTATTATTATTATTATTATTATTATTATTATTATTATTATTATTATTATTATTATTATTATTATTATTATTATCAAGAAGCCTTTTTTTTCTAATTATTTTGGACCAAAAGTCAACAATAATGCAAAAAGAGCAGGAATTTTCAGCTCCTTAGCTTTAATATATATATATATATATAATATATATATATATGGTCACGCTCCAGTGAGAATGGTACTCAAGGAGAGAAATGAGAATAAATTTTAGCCACATAATCTGATCATCCAATGGTTTAAAAACAACCATAATTATAAATACATTAAGGGTATTAGGGTCTTTCTTCAACCACCAACATCAGTGGGACCACCCACACATACACATTGAACACACAGCTGTAATCTCTCCCTCCAAGGCATACGTTACGTAATGTCTCTCTCTCCCATCTCTCTCTCTCTCTCTCTCTCTCTCTCTCTCTCTCTCTCTCTCTCTCTCTCTCTCTCTCTCTCACACACACACACACACACAAATTGGAACTCACGAGTCAAGGCCGACGACGCCATTCCCGTCGCCAACCTCCGCCAACGTTACTTCCGCGGTTGTGCACGCGATTCTCGTCCCCGCCGGCCAATCCACGGCGGCTCTTCCCCCATCGCCGCCGACCAAGAGTCCTCACACATCTACAGCCCCGCCTGTCGCAGCCCAATTTCTCGCCGTTGTCCGACCAGTAGCCATTATAACCACCGTTCAGTCCCCACCGCCGGCGAGCGTCCGTCACCTTCCTCCCTGACCAGCTCAACGTCATCTTCTCCATTGTCCGGATGGCGGCACCGGCGCTATTCTCACCGCCACTAACGTTCTCGTCGAGGACTGCACCATATGCACGGCAAAGCTCCGCCTCCGACAAAAGCTGAAATTGACGGGAAAAATGAAGCTTCGAGATCCGCCATTAATGGCGAAAAAAAAAGCTTGTGATAACCGGCGGCCTGAGACTCCACCAGCGGCGGT